CTCAGAAGATGTGTTAGTTTAATAGATACACACAGTATGGGTCTCCATCCCCAGTGCAAGACAAGTGGGAATTTCCATAGCTCTGAGGTTTTAGAACAGCTGAGCTGCAAACACACTCTGAAGAGTCTAAAAGCTCCTGCTGTGGGTCCTAACTGCCAGAGCTTTCAAAGATCTGTGCTTTTTTCCCAGAAAAGGTACAACATATAATTACATCGATGTACCAGACTCAATTCTGTGGGAGGCCTGTCGGAGGACAAGTCAGTGGGAAGCTATGCAGCCAATCTACCACCCTAAAGAAAAGGATTATTGATCATACAAGGTGTGGGAACTAGCATATCCCTCTTACCAGGAGGTCTGTCTCTGGACAGAGGAAAAGTTCCTGGGTTTATTTTTTGTTTGTCTGTTTCTTCTTTCTATCTGTTTAACTGATTACATGGGGAATATAAGCACACCTGTGATGTGGCTGCTAACACCAACAACAAACAAAAAGCTTAGAAAACGCTTATCAGTTCCAGTCACTGTCTCAGATAATCTTACTTCTTCCCCTAGGCCAAAACTGTCCCAGTTTAGTTTTTTGTTGGTTTGCTTTTTTAAAAAATGAATCTTGCAGGAGTAATCCCACTTCTGGTATATGTCTATCCCTAGCTGATGAGATTTGTTTTTAATCTTCCAGGAAATAAGTTATAAAATAATGCAAACTCTATGGGACAATGCCCAAGGTTACAGGAATAAAATTAAGAAAGATTATGTATTGTTAAAGAAGGAAAGAAAATATTTCAATAAGGCTAAATTGTTCAATGGTATCAAGTCCCATATGAATATAGAATATGACAGGTCTGAAAAAGTCCACTTGATTTTGTATTCAGGTTAATAAACCAAAACCAAACCCATTGCTGTCAAGTTGATTCTGACTCATGGTGACCTCGTGTTACAGAGTACAACTGTTCCATAGCATTTTCTTGGCTGCAATCTTTATGGAAGCTTATCACCAGGTCTTTCTTCCACCGAGCCACTGGGAAGGTTCGAACCAGCAACCTTTAGATTAGTAGCTGAGAGCAAACCTCTTGCGTCAACCAGGAACCTTATTCATGTTCGATTCAGAAAATATTTTTTAACTACCTACTACGTAAATAAATGGAGCCATAGTGGCACACAGGTTAAGAGCTAAGGCTGCTAACCAAAAGTTTCGCAGTGCGAATGTACCGCCGCTCCTTGGAAACCATATGGGGCAGTTCTGTTCTGTCCTATAGGGTTGCCATATGGTTGCTATGAGTCAGAATCGACCTGAGAGCAATGATTTTTTTTTTAATGTAAATAAATATGATACCTGACCTTTTGGAACTTGCAATCTAGAGGGGGTTATAGGCATTATAAATAACCTCACAAATAAACATTTAATTATAAACCATGATAGTTTCTAGAAAGGTAAAGAAAAAAGGTTCTCTGAGACTTTAATAGGGAAATCTAATTTTGATTGATAGGTAAGTGAAGGCATCACTTGGAAAGTGAAATTTAAGCCGAGATTCTAAGATTAAGCAGGAGAGAAACAGGAAGCCACTTGGGCAAGAGGGAACAGCATTTGTAACAGTTTTGAGGCAGGAAAGAGCATAGAAAATGCAAAGAACTGAACAATAAAATACACTGTGGCTGAGGCAATGTACTGTTGTTGGCAGCAAACTCATGATTGCTGTGGGTTGAGCAGTCAATGAGAGGTAAGGAAGTAGACAGCAAAATGAGTATAATCTTTGAAAACACTAATGATAGAAAATGGAGAGAAGACAATAACTAGTGGGGATCTCAGGGGCAATGAAGGATTTTTTTTTTTTATCCATCCATTCATTCATTTCTAGGCAGGGAGTACCTTAAGAACTTGTTCTGAAGAGAAAGACACAGTGGAGATTGACAAGTTGAAGAGGGAACAGAACGACTAACAGGAATATGTCCTAAAACAGGCAGGAAATAATGGTGTTGAAAACAGAGGTAAGTAGGTTAGCCTGTAGTAGGATACTACAGGGTTAAAAGCATAGTCTATGAAGCCAGACTATCTAGGTTTGAATTCTGCATCTCTTACTTACAATGTGATCTTGGACAATTATCAAGTCTTCTGTAGCCTCAGTTTTCTCATCTACAATATTGGACTAATAACAGTGCCAGGACTCCCTGGTTGGCACAAATGGTTAAGCGCTGGATTACCAACTAAAAGGTTGGTGGTTCAAACCCACCCAAAGATGCCTTGGAAGGCCTGGCAATCTGCTTTTTAAAGGTCACAGCCTTAAAAACCGTATGGAGCAGTTTTCTTTCCACACATGGGTCGCCATGAGTCGGAATTGACTCAATGGCAACTAACAACAACAACAATAATAGTAATAATAGTAAGTAATAAGGCATATCTCTTTCTGAGGTTTTACAGAGAGTAGATTAATAAACGCTATGGCTAGAGATAAAAATGTAAGTTGAAGAGACAGTGGAGATTCTGAGGCCTGAGTGTCTTCCTTTTATGCTGCAAGTAGAAGGTTAGGTTGTTTGTGGTGAGTCAAAAAGATACAAGAAGAGGGAGATGGAGAGAAGATTAGAGGAGAGTGAATAAGATATAGAATAGCCACTATGGAAATATTAAAGACCTCTGACTAGGAGCAAGTAAAATGACTGCTGAAATGGCAATGAGAAGTCCCACTGAGGTTAAAAGCCAAAATGTCATAAGGATACTAATTCACTCAGTTCACAAAACGGAATACGGAGAAGTAACTCCAGAGAGTTAGCGACAGAATGAGAATGCTAAGGAGCTTGGGTTTTACTCTGTAATTTCTGGGAGCCACCAACGGATTGTGAAAAAGAAATCATATGATTTAATACAGATTTTAAGAAGAATACAGTAATAGTATTGATGGAAAAAGAGAGCAGGGCAAGGCAACCAGCTTGGAGCCTCTCTCATTAGTGCACATGCTTCTACACAATTCCAAAGCTGTCCTAACTGTAGGCTGTTCGTATATGTTTGAGGTTTAAAAGGTATTTGGGTGTATTCACACATAAGTGAATTTATTTTCAGCATAGACTTGAAGAAATAGGTTTTAGCATATTTTATACTTTTATAGATCTAAAACATGCTATTTTTAATCTCAAGCTCACACTTGGATTTAATAATTCTCCTATAATTCAATTCAATAAACATTTATCTACTGTCTACAGTATACAAGATATTGCTCTAAGCACTGCAAAGCATAGATGTTTGAAAGACTAAGGCACATCATTATTTCAGAAAATTCATTCTTGGATATGAGATTACTTAACCTTTATTTGGAAAGTCTTCATTGATACTGTCTCAGGTTATTTACATAGCGTAAACCACTTTATACTCTCCTTTACTCCCCGCCCCCACCCCACAAACATGTAGCTAAGGATGGTGAGAGAAATAAGAGAACCAGGGCTATTCATGTACACACAGCCCCTGAGTTATTTATGGTTATGTGCATAAACAAGAAATCTCTTCCATTTTCTGTTTTGCTTTCAGTTCAGAAGTTATATTGCTTTTTATATCCCCAAACTTCATTTCCTCAGTGTTGTACCAAAGATATTCCTCCTGAAGGACTTGCTTGGCAAGCTAATACATCTTCCAAGAAAAACTGCATTCAGAAAAAAAAATTGGCTTCAGAGAAATTGTGTACTGTACCTACTGTAAAACTCATAACCATCATGATACAGCTGATTTCTCAGATGGTATATAGCCTTAGTTCAATTATAATGTGAATCCAAGCAGCTTGGGTTTCAAGTACAGACTTTGGCCTGGAAAATTAGATTATTTAATATCATCTGAAAGTGCTGCTAGTTAATAAATAATATCTAGCCAATTTAGTTGATTAATTTTGCTTAATTCAAAAATAAGAGAAAGATTTTCCTCATGTACCTTAATATTTGACAGAATCCTTCTATATTAGTATAAGCAAACCCACGTCATAGAATCTATAAATACTGGTAAGCAGTTACTGCACATGTTCAAAAGGAATACGCTCTATCCCATCTATCACATTTTAAATTTAAACAGGATTTTTAAATTTCAAAGTACCAAATCAGATCAGTTCAAATATATTACTATTAAAAAGGACAAATTTTTTTGGATGAAGCAGACATACTGTTTGAAAATCTGGATTCACTATAATTTAAAAAGTCTTAGTGTGTAGACTGAAAATGGTCAGGGAGCCAGAGTAAAGCTGACAAACATACTGGAAATGTTCATTCACAGAATGAACAAACTTGTATGGAATACCTAAGCCCAAAGTAGCTTTTTCTACAAGAAATTGAATAAATCATGGCCTCTTTCCCACATTTTTTTTTTTACCAATTATTTGAATAGTAGGTGTGGAGACTACTTAAAATATGTAAGTTCATAATTTATCACTAGTTTTCTTTTGTACCCCTTAGCATGAAGGGGAGATAAGAAAACATAATTCACTCCAATAACGATCTAACCACACTAGAGCATGATGTGTATTTATAAGATTTTCTTCCTAGGTGAAACATTATATTTAAAGCTTTCAATCAAGTAACAACATTGTATAGGATATCCAAAAATTCTTGTGCTTTTTCTGATACAATACATACAAAGAAAAGACTCTCTAATAATTTCATATTTATCTAGTTATTACCATTTCTTTACCCTAAGTTTTTGGGGGCTAAATTCTAATATCAAAATCTAAAGAGAAGAAAGAAATAGCCAATACAAACATGTGTACAAATTTGTATATATTAATAGAATTAAATGTCAGCACTGTTCTAGAGAGATTTCATGGATTATCTTGAGGCATTTTGTAGAACGTAACTTAATTTTTCAATACCATGATAAAAATAGATAAACAAGGATTTTTTTTCTGACAGCCAATGTTATACTAAATTATACAGTTACACAATAATTAAATAAATCAACAACTGAAACAACTTTCTTCTTATTGTTCCTGACAAGGGTTACCTAATATATGAGTCTGTAGGCCCTTGAGCTAGATACATACCACAACTCCAAACTGTTCAGGCTCACAGAGGTCATCATATTCATTTTTAAGTTCTGCTAATTCATTGAGTACCTTCTGCTCAGGTAGATGTTTTACAAGGTTCTAAAAAGACATAAAAGTATAGCATTTTATTACTGAGTTAATAAATTAAACACGTGTTATCAGCTCTACCAAAAAAAACAGAACCCACTGCTATCAAGTCGATTATGACTCATAGTGACCCTACAGGATGGAGTAGAACTGCCCCAAAGGGTTTCCAAGGCTGTAAATCTTTACAGAAGTAGAGTGGCACATCTTCCTCCCCTGGAGCAGCTGGCGGGTTCAAACTGCTGACCTTTCAGTTAGCAGTCGTGCACTTAACAGTTGCACCACCAGGGCTCATTTATTAACAGCTCTAAAGGTGATCAGATGGATAGTAGATAAATTTCTGATTGTGGTTCTGTTACAATACAAATGTATTCTTCCAACCACCATGAAATGGAGCTAGAATGAATTACAATTAAACATGAATAGAATGTATAAAATTGTTTCATTTCTATGCATTACAGTACACAAATGTTAAATTGAAAGAGCACACAGGAATAAACGGCATTTCAAACTTGACTACCTTCCGGCCTTAAACATATAGCATAATATTTTAAGCTTTATTTTCTGTCATGATAGTTAATCAATCTAAACTGCAAACAGAAAAATATTATGCAGCATTTGCTAATATATAATAATACTAAAACTAAACTATTCACAGTTTTGCAATACTTGGAACCACACCCGGCCAGTACATGAGTCTTCCATTATTTACAATGTCTGTATTTAAGCATGCAATGCAGTCCTACTTTTAAGTGATGAGGTCTGTTGCATGTTCAAGTTTGATGCCTAATAGAATCAAAACTGATTAATTCATCTCTATCTAGTTTATCCTAGACTTTGGTACAGTTATAATTATCATTACATTAGCCTGCAATCAATATTTTGAGGACTCCTATGGGATTTCTCTAGACATGTAAAAGGGATATAAGCAGGAAACAAAGATTTAAGACGTAGGACAGCAACTTAAGCAGACTTTCTATGGAGGACAAACGTGTCATGCCCCACTGTGCGTGCCTTTTTGTTCTCCCTCATTTATTGTCTCTCTCCTCCCACTCATTTTTGCCTTTTCCATTATGTTTTAAAATATCATGTCCTTTGACTCAAAACAAGTACAGATATGGACACAATCACATATAACTGGTTGAAACGAAGACCATCCATTATTTTTCTTAATATCGTTTCCTCTTATAGGATGAAAACCTAACCATAGACTCAAGAATTATTTCCATTTTCCCAGAATATATTTGATATGTAGAAATTATTCAATTTTTTTTGTTTGTTTTTAGTTTTCTCTGTTACTGGGATTTTTTGTGAAGTATATTATTAAGAAAAAGAAAGACTCAGTTTGATAACTTGAATAATCACTACAGTGAAACTAAATTAGGAAAATTAAGACGAACACTATTAAAATTACTTAAAAATCAATTCTGCATATGTCAAACTCTCAATCGCAATTGTAAGATTTACCTCTGTAAAAATAAGTATTATGGAATGAATCAAGTCTAAAGTAGAATTTTACCTCAGAATGTGAAACTTTTTGTTGTTATTTTGTTTCACTTCTAGCTATAGGTAACCTGTTAACTCATCTTCAGAATGTAGGCGCCACAGTGGTAGGTGACATATCTTTTCTTTCTCTGTTCAGCTACATGAAATATTTAACACAGTCAGTGGGCCTGGATGTATTCTGATTCTGAGTTCCATTTTATGAGTGAGTGATGAGCTTATGTAACAATGCTTAGTAGGTTCTATTTGCAAATCAGATTTGGAAGAAAACACTCTTTCAAATGTGTGGCAGATGCAGACCACTATTACAGTACTCATTGCTTTAATAAGTCAGTTACCCGTAGAGTCCCATGTTGCAAGTGGTTATGGTAGTCAATGCATAAAAATATGATTTTTCTTTCTACATACATACTAAACTTTATAGACAAAGATGTAGTAGTATAATACTGAAAATGAATATGTTTTCATGGCCATAAATTCCAGAATGGAAGAGGGAAGAAAAAAAGACACACAAGAGAGAGACATATAGTTAATTTGCTTCCACCTGTCTTTACCTACTAACCAAAAACATATCAAGAGAAAATGGAAAAAAAATGGATAGGGGTTCAATAAACAACCTGAAACTAGTGTGTACAGTCCTAGGAATTAGCTTGAAGTCTGGTGGACTTAAGTGGCCACCTGGAAGACAACAGATCTGTCTAAAAAGAGAAGCGAGCATCAAGCAAATAGGCTTGGTCAAGTAAGAAAATTTACAATTTGGAAACAACTGGAGTGATTCCAAGGGCAGCATATTTGCTCCTTACATGTGTCTCCACGTCCAGCCTACATAACCCCAACGTGGGCAAATGTCAGAGTTGTATGGGAAAGGTGGCTGTTTGAAGAGCACTGCTTTGGAACCCCTCTTATCAAGTATATTACAAAAATGGAGAGAGAAGGATAAGGGCATTTGTCTCTATTTTGACACAGAACACTTTACACCCTTGGCACCTAGAGAACTTCAATACATTGCCAGATATGCTCCATAGGAAACTACCACTCCACTCCCCATCCCACACACGGGGATCCCTAGTGGAGGGGTTCAAAACAGGACACATTAAAAAAAACCCACAGTTACTACATGGAAGCTGACCAAATTAGTTCAAGGAATATTTAAGATATTCTGAGGCCTCCAGAAACATTTAATGTAGGGATTTTGGAAGAGAGAGTCATGCGACAGCAGCTAAAAGCAAGAGCAAGAAAAACACAGGTAAACTGATGTGGATCAGGTGCATGTTTTTACTAAATTCTTATTGCCCAAGGACTCTGTACTTAGAAAATTGTGAAGAGCTTTTGAATTTCGGTGCCTTGTTGATACTATAAATGCTTATGTTCTCTAAATATATTGCAAAGATGTGTTGATAGTTCAGACACCCTTTAAGCTATATGTCAAAGGCTTTTTATAATAGAAGAGGCTACACATTATAAATTTTTGAATACAATTGAGATTATGACAAACTATAAATTGTTAGACAAATATCCCATAAAGTTTCAAGGCACAAGCCTTCCATTTCTCCATCCCCCTGCTGTTGCTTACTACTGAGCCCTTCTTGCAAATATTTCAGGATTTGTATTTAAAAGATCAATCCTGGGTCAGTATGAAAGTTTCATCCTAGAAAATGTCAATGAGCTGAAGTTCAGGAAGAAAACAACAAAAGGAAAAGAAACAATTATGTCACCAAATGAGCAGAATTTTATCTTTTATGCATCACAGATTCACTTTCTGATGACTGTCAGTGTTATCTGAAGGAATTTCTCCGAACAGACCGTATGTTTTTAACTACTTTTAAAATTTCTACAATTACTCTATAATACTTCCAAAAGTTTAGTTCCTTTAAATGTTAATTGTACACTTAAAGGTTAGTTAAGGGAAGGTATTGAACCATAATGCCCTTTCCTTCTTGCCAAAACATGACCTTTCTTTTTTGTCCTATATCTCATTAAGTCATTTTAGTACTAGGAGAGCCAAGGTAGGAACATTACGACTACCGTATTTTCATGCAAATAATGCGTGTCTTCTATGTTTGTTGGCCACTGAGCCCTCCTCTCAGGAGTTATTTTCATAAGCATGTTATGCTAATCTTTTTTTTCAGCAACACGTGAAAAAAACTGGCATAGCGGGGCTTATGAAAATACCTCACAGGGGGAAGGTGCAGTTGGTAAACAAATGTAGAAGGTGCGTGTTATCTGCGTAAAAAATATAGCTAAGTCTATCATTGTACACGTGAATGGATTGGGACCAATATTTCTTTTTAAAAATATACATAGTATTATTTTGATTTATATTGACAAAGATTTTAATCTTTTAATCCAGATAAGAAACATTTTCCCCCAAAGTCTTGGCTAAATCTCCATGATCTTAACATCAAACCTCCCCATTTTGCCAGGTTAGAAATCGTTCTTTTTTATTAAAATTGTACTTTAGATGAAGGTTTACAGAGCAAATGAGTTTCTCATTAAAAAAGTACACCTATTGTGTTGTGACGTTGGTTACCAACCCCACAACATGTCAACACCCTCCCTTCTTGACCTTGGGTTCCCTATTACCAGCTTTCCTGTCCCCTCCTGCCTTCTTCTCCTTGCCCCTGGGCTGATGTGCCCATTCAGTCTTGTTTTCTTTTATTGTTGTTGTTGATAGGTGCTGTTGAGTCAGTTCCGACTCATAGCAACCCTATAGGACAGAGTAGAATTGCCCCCATAGGGCTTCCAAGGAGCAGCTGGTGGATTTGAACTGCCGACCTTTTGGTTAGCAGCTGAGCTCTTAACCTCTACGCCACCAGGGCTCCCTCATTTTGTTTTATAGTCCTGTCTAATCTTTGGCTGAAAGGTGAACCTCAGGAGTGACTTCAGTACTGAGTTAAAAGGGTGTCCGGGGGACATACTCTCAGGGTGTGTTTCCCCAGTCTCTGTCAGACGAGTAATTCTGCTCTTTTTTTGTGAGTTAGAATTTTGTTCTACATTTTTCTCCAGCTCTGTCCAGGACTCTCTGTTGTGAACCCTGTCAGAGGAGTCAGTGCTGGTAGCCGGGAACCATCTAGTTGTGCTGGACTCAGCCTGGTGGAGGCTGTGGTATTCGTGGTCCATTAGTCCTTTGGAGTAATCTTTCCCTTGTGTCTGGTTTTCTTCATTCTCCATTGCTCCAGATGGGGTGAGCTGGTTAGAAATCTTGATCCCTTCACTATTATAATTTATTATGCCATATTTCTCAACGCTTCCTTATGGTATAGTTATGAAATTGCTGTGTGTGCATGTATGTAAGTGTTCTTAAATCACACTCACGTGTTCTTATTCTTTTGAGTTAAATGGTAAACATTTTGATGCCAGGGCCTGGTTCTATACTTCTTTTGTGTTTTATCCATCCATTCAGTCAATATACATTGGCTGTCTACTATGTGATTGCCAGCTCGTTAACCACTGGAGATTCTACCCTCACAAAGTTTACAGGAGCAACAGGGCCATGAATATAGTGGAACGAT